TCCCTCAGGGTAGGGGGAGGTCAAAGAGACAGCCACTGATTTCATGTCAAAGACAGTCCCTGTTCCCCTTATTAGAGCTGCCATGGGCTACGTCTGAGCAGGGATTCTAGGTTATATCCATGCATAGTCCTTGGTTGGAGAATCCATCTCAGAAAAAAAACCCTTGTGGCGCTCCTGTCCTCTCCAGGTCTTACTAACTCTCCTTTCTTTCATATGATTCCCTATACTCTGCCCAAGGTTTGGTTATGAGTCTCCGCATCTGCTTTCATACACTGCTAGGTAGAGTGTTTCAGAGGCCCTCTATGGTAGGCTCCTGTCCTGTTTCTTGTTTTCTCCTACTTCCAATGTCTATCCCATTTGCCTTTCTAAGTGAGGATTGATTACCTTACCCCAGAACCTCTTCTTGTTTAGCTTCTTTAGTTAGGAATAGTGCTTCCTCAAGATCCAGCTATATCACTCCTAGACATACATCCAAAAGACACTCAAGTATACAAGGACTTTTGTTCAATCATGTCTGTAGCAGCTTTATTCATAATAATCAGAACCTGGAAACAAACCAGATGTCCCTCAACGGAGGAATGGAAACAGAAACTATGGTCCATTTACCCAATGGAATACTACTCAGCAATTAAAAACAAGGAAATCATGAAATTTGCAGGCAAATGGTGGGAACTAGAAAAGATCATCTTGAGTGAGGTATCCCAAAAACAGAAAGACACACACGGTATATACTCACTTAAGTGGATACTAGACCTATAACATAGGATAAACATACTAAAATCTGAACACCTTATGCCTTCTCTTAAGACTCTTTTTCTTCTATTTGTTTGTCTTGTCCAACTATAAAATGATAGTTTTTATCTTATATTTTCATTTTTATATATTTAAAAATGAATGAATGAATGAATGAATGAATGAATGAATGAATGAATGAATGAATGAAAACCTACAGTTGCTAACTGTAACGTTAGCAACTAAACTGTCATTTAAACCTCCAAGGAGAGGGAAAATCAGCTTTCTCCAAAAAAGTAAAACTGAGTATATCAACCACTCCAGGGCAGGCCTCATGTTCTGTAGCCATTGACCAACATATAATAGACTCCACAGTTATTTTTGTGTGTGCTTTGATTTGGTTAAACTTTGGTCCATTTGGGCTTTGCTTTTTGGATTTGGTTTTATTTTTCTTACCTTTTGTGGAGGGGAAGGTGGTTGTATTGCGGTTTTGTTTGTTTTCTGAGAAAGAATTTAAAATTGGGTAGGTAGGGAGAAGAACAGGACCTGGTAAGACTTGGGGAAGGAGAAGAATATGATCAACATATATTTAAATTAAAAAATTGTTTTAAGTAATAAAATAGTATAATAAAAACTAGTATTGAAAAAATGAAAAAAACACTAGTATTGAAGATAACTTTGTACAGTACAAATTTAGCCATCTTCTATCAAAAGAAAGGCAAACAGTAACTGAGTTGGCAGTGATCTTATTTTTTTATTTTTTTAATATTAGTAATAGTTTATTAACTTTGTACCCCAGCTGTATCCCCCTTCCTCATCCCCTCCCAATCCCACGCTCTCTCCCTCCTCTCCTCCTTGCCCCTTTTGAAGTCCACTGATAGGGGAGGATCTCCTCCCCTTTCATCTGACCCTGGTTTATCAGGTATCTTCAGGACTGGCTGCAAAGTCCTCCTCTGTGGCCTAGCAGGGCTGCTCCTCTCTAGGGGCGAGGGGAAAGTCAAAGAGCCAGCCATTGAGTTCAGGTCAGAAATAGTCCCTGTTTCCCCTTACTAGGGTACCCACTTGGATACTGAGCTACCATGGGCTACATCCGACCACGGGTTCTAGGTTATATCCATACATGGTCCTTGGTTGGAGAAACAGTCTCAGAAAAGACCCCTGTGCCCAGATATATTTGGTCCTTGTGGAGCTCCTGTCCTCTCCAGGGCATACTAACTCCCCCTTCTTTCATATGACTCCCTGTACTCTGCTGAAGGTTTGGTTATGAGTCACAGCATCTGCTTTGGTACACTACTAGGTAGAGTCTTTCAGAGGCCCTCTGTGGTAGGCTCCTGTCCTGTTAATCATTTTCTCCTACATCCAATGTCCATCCCAATTGTCTTTCTAAGTGAGGATTGATCATCTTACCTCAGGTCCTCTTTCTTGTTTATCTCAGAATGGCTAAAATAAAAAACCCAAGTGACAATACATGCTGGAGAGGTTATGGAGAAAGGGGAACCCTCCTCCACTGCTGGTGGCTATGTAAACTTGTACAACCGTGTTATTTCAATGTTCCACAGTCCCTGATAGTCAGTTTTGGTACAAAAATCACCAGGGTGTGTGGAAGAATGTTGCTGTGCTTGGTCTTTTCAATTATAAGACAGAGTCTCTCACTGATCTTAGAAGCAGGCAATAAGCCTTAGCAATCTCTTATCTCTGACCCCTATTTTCCTGTCATAGGGCTACAGGCACACATGTAACCAAACCTGGCTTTCTATATGGCTGGGTGCTGGTACCTGCACCTGGCTCCTTTTACTTAGGCAGCAAGGACTCTCATTCATTCAACCATTTCTTTATCACCAGAGAGCTTTGCTAGCACACTTATAAGATAAAGGAACAAAGATAGAAGAGCACATTTACAAAAAATAAATTTCAAATGATTGACAATTAATAAACATGAAACTAAACAAGATCATGATGTGGCTGGTTAGTATATAAAACATGGCCTCCCACCGGCTGCCTTTGATGCTGAAAGAAGATACCGCATGGCTTGTCCTTCATCTGACACAAAACCTTTACTTAAAGATAGACAACATGTCTATTAGTGGTATCTGTTTCTGAATGTTCTCACATCAAGGATTTACAAATTGTTTTCTGTGCAATAGTTTTAAATATGTAACTCAAGGCTACAGAATACACTTGACAAATAAGTTGAGACAAACACAAAGTTTCTATTATGTAATATTTGAACTCTCAAAAGCCCTTCTTTTATTCCTATGAAAAAGAGCTTAAATGATGGAATGTTTGATGACCAAATATTTTGATAACTCTGTCTACCTATAACAAAATTATACATGTCATGATTCTAATGAATCTTTGTATAAGTGCTTGTTGTATTTAACTTTATATTTCAAACGATAACCTCTGAAGAATAAACCTGAGAACACTTGATACTGAGTTAGCATGTCTTAATAGGAAATTATATTTAGTCCCTCTATAAATGTATCAATCTGATGAATCCTCATTGCAATAAGAAAATTTTTTTCATTTCTATGATACATATAAGGTCACCAATCATGTACATATATAAACTTTTCCTTTACATGATCTCACCAAAGAAAGCTGTCAGTATTTGAATATCAAGTTGCTTAATAGGTTAGAACTATATTCCAGTAAAACCCACCATACCACCGTCCTTTTCTTTCTTCCTTCTTAACATTTCATTTATGTATTTTATGTTTGGATGGATACACATACATGCTATGGGAAGCATGTGGAAATCAAAAGCCAACTTATTGAAGCTGGTTCTCTCTTATTAGGATGTGGGTTCTGGGACACAAAGTAATACTGGCAGCAAGCATCTACACCTTTTGAACCTTCTTGGAGCCTGATCTATGGGACTCTGGATTAGTGCTCAGGCTTATTTATTAACTATGGAACACAGGAAAAGAGAAATATCTGCCATCCCATCTCTGGAAAAACAAACTATTATATCACCATATAAGATAAAATAATCTTGATAGTCCTTGACACTACTTTTTATGATACAAATTTATAAAATCAATTTCTTTTGAAAGAACAGGATATGAAAATTATATTAAACTTATTTTTCTATCAGCATAAGTTAAAAAGAAGTCACTAACAGACATTTAAAACTGTTGCCAGAAATATTCTAGAAGGATAAAAAAAAAATTAAATGGATAGCAAGTAGGCAGTGCATCTGATGTGTGAGATGTTCAAAATGTTCAGCCTGAAAAAGCATCAACTTTTTAAAGTGTACCTTCAATGACTAGAGAATAATGATTCAGCTTTGATTAAGTGTTTTTGACTATGTATGAGATTTACTGAAGTAACTGTCCTGACTGATAACTTCTCTTTATTTTCTTTCCTTCTTTCTTTCCTTCTTTCTTTCTTTCTTTCTTCCTTTCTTCCTTTCCTTCCTTCCTTCTTTCTTTGTTTTGTATTTGTTTGTTTCTTTTGTTTTGTTGTTTGCTTTTGCTTTTCGAAACAGGATTTCTCAGTGTGGCCCTGGATGTTGTGGAACTCACTCTGTAGACCAGACTGGTCTCAAACTCAAGAGATCCTCCTACATCTGCCTCCCAAGAGTACTGGGATTAAAGGTATGGCCACCACCAATAGGCTCAGCTTGGTGACCTCTTAAGAGTTTGATTTTTGAGTAGGCATTTATATATTATGTCATCTTTAAAATTAGAATGCTTATTCTATACTGAAAACATGTTTTATGTTTTCTGATTTGTATACTAAATTTTCTTATAGCTGTTATACAATAAACTGAAATAAAATGTGTGGCTTTTGCAAATGTTTTAACAACTGATATTCATGTCTGTGTGTGAGAGAAGGATACATGTGTGTTGTGTGTGTGCATGTATCTTTATCATGTGTCAGTATCTTTCACAGAAGCAGGAGCTCACCCATTTGGCTAGACTGACAGGCCAGGGATCCTTCCTCCTCTCTCCCTGCCTCCAGAAAGCTGGGATTACAGGTCCTCGATGTCACATCCAGTTTCTCAAGTGCATGCCAGAGACTTACACTTAGATCCTAATGCTTACACAACAAGTATTTGACCACCTTAGCCAGGCCCCATACCCCACCAAAACAGTTTTAACTTATATTTTGAAAAGTTACCCTCCCCAAAACAAAGACTATAGGAAAGAATTTAAGTCACAAAAATATAAATATAAAAATATAAATGTATTTTAATGTATAAAAACACTTTTTACCTGGAATATTTTACAACCATTAACTTAGAAGCTTGTGAAAAATCTTACCTAAAGGTGTCATTTGGTAAGAAACACATCGATGTCTCCATAAAGAAATGGCAGATCTCTCTCGATTCTGCAGTTCTTGTAGTCTTTCTGCTAGCCCGCCTCTGTTGAATTGTAATATATTATGTTTAAAAGCTAAAGTCTTCAAAATAGCTGCAGCTTTTACATTTTACATCCCCCAACCAGAAACAGATGAAACAAGGGAAATGTTAACATTTTTTATATTACATTCTCTTTCTGTGTATCATTTCCAATTTCTAGTTTTCTTACCAGGTCTATTTCCTGATTCACAAAAAAAGTTGGACTGCTATTATACTCACAGAATTTGACACCTAAATCAGTTTGATTCCCTTTCTACGCTTTCTTAATTTGATCACTCCTTAAATGTGTTGTGCATTTACTACCTGCAGTTATCACTTTGCTAGGGTGAGAAAAAATGCTCCATCCTATCATACAAATAGGGACTCCAAACATGCAAGTAGATAAATGCAAACTCAGACAAGAATGAACTTGCTAATTTGTTGATGGGCGCGATAATCAAATGAGAATAGTATCTGGACTCCCTAAGATAATTTAGTAACAATTACAAACACACTATATGGAACACAAAGTTGAGAAAAATTAGAAATAAAGTAAGAAAATTTTTTTAAAAATTACAGGACTAGGACAGAAAAGGCAAAGGAATGAAAGAGAGGCAAGGGGAAGAAGGGAAATAAGTAGAGGAAGGAAGGAAAATTTTGTAGATTTCTTGAATGACTTTCCTCTATTTCTTCTACCCACCTCATCTACCCACACCACAATCAATTCTAAATTTGAAATTTACGAGCTGGAGAGATGGCTCAGCAGTTAAGAGCACTGGCTGCTCTTTCAGAGGACCTGCATTCCATTCCCACCATGCACATGGCAGCTTACAACTGTGTATAACTCCAGGATCCATCACCTTCGAGAGACATACATGCAAGCAAAACATCCATGTACATAAAATAAATAAATAAGTTATTTTTTAATTTGAAATTTACAAGGTGTCTCTCCCCATTAATTCAAGTCTAAGAACCTACCATCCTCTAGTAGCATAACTTCAAATGTATTTAATCAATTAGTTCCCATCCAAAATATACTATCTCACATCTAATATTATAAGTACTTGATTTTCTGGCTGACAGTCTTCACCCAGGACAGGCTGAGGTTTCATTTGGCTATTTTGTCTCCTGCATATAAAAAACGTGCTTGGCACACAAAAGGTCCTCAATAGAGTTGGAAACATGACGTCTGGAATTGGATGATGTCACTTGTGCCATGAAAATCTTTCTAATGTCAAGCACAACATCTTCCCCATAGCCTCTTTCCTTCCTGGTAACTGAACCCAGGGCCTTACACATACCAGACAAATATTCTATCACTGAGGTAGATTCATAGATCTTGAATTTTTGAGATGAGACCTAACTACATACCACTCTAGTCAGATTCCAAAGTAACTGTGTCACTTGAGCTTGTCGTGAACTACAAACTTACTGTTTGTGGTAGGATTATTTGCGTGCATTATCATGTCCAATTACCATTCCCTTCTAAAACCACAACTTCATTTGGGGCACTGATGGATTCAAACTGGCATAATTGTGACTATCTTCAGTCATAATGGCTACTGAGTAATACTGGAGGGTCTCACTTGCAGCATTTCCAATATAATAAAAGTAAACTAAGCCATCAGAGTAGTATGCATCGCTTTATTACTGGACCCATCAGCATCAGGAATATGTCTGACATACCTGATATTAGCTTCAAATAGGCCATGTCCATTTTGGCCTAGGTGAGGTCACTTTTGTCTTGACCATTTAATAAGCCCTCTTCCTTTGACTCAAATCACAGGAAGCCACTGGTCTTAAAGCCTTATACAACCAAACTTCTATCACTAAGTCACTAATTGTACTCTATGTAATCTTGGATCTTTCTTGTTCTTTAGTCTAATGACACCTTCCAAGGTTTTTGGATACTAGGAAGTGGTTTTTCTAGAATGAGTACACAAACTTGTGCCTTATTTGTGAAAACAACATGAAATAGGTAATAATTTTCTTAGCATAAAGTACTCATCCCATTATCTGTCTCTGGAAATACTACTCTTTGAAACTGCTTTAAAGACTAGATCCCTTTCGAAATATAACAGCTCCATCTCTCTATCAGTCTGTCCTATGTCCCATGTACTCTTTAGCCAGTTGTTCTCAGTTTGTGGTGAAAATAGTATTAATAGACGACCCACCCCTCCACATATGTTCTTCCTACTATATGATACATTCTCCTAGGAACTCTTGGCTACTTTTGCTTTTTAGGCACACAGCTTGACAAGTTCTTTCTCACTTTCATGGTTTTGTTATAGGGAAAAAAAAAACATTATTTTTGTTCCAATTTATAACCAATGTAATGACATGATGGTGGAACATGTCTCTAAATGCTCCCTTACACATCTGCTTGGTAACAAAGGCCAGTCTCTGACTGATAGAGCAGGAACAAGGATTTTCCTCTACTTGGCTCTCCTCAGCCATATGAGGTGTTTTTAACCTTTCATCAAAGCTCTCTTATATTTTCTTTTTTTTTTCATTTTTTATTAATTAATTCAATTTACATCTTGCTCATATGCCATTCCCTCCTCTCCTCCTAGTCCCACCCTCCCGCATCTCCTTTCTCCTATTCCTCAGAATAGGGGAGCAAAGCCGTATCCAGACACCCCAGCTTATTTATTCACATGAGGATTGAGATTGTAGTCCTTCCCTGTGGCCTGGTAGGGCAGTCCCATCAGGTGGAAGTGATAAAAAAGAAGGCAACATCATCCATGTCAGAGATATACCCCACTTTCCTAACTAGTGGGCCCACATGACACCTAAGATTCCCATTGGCTACTTATAATTAGAGGACTTGGGTCCAGACCACACATTGTCCTTTGTTTGTGCTTTAGACTCCACAGCGCCTCTGGGCCCTGGCTAATTGGCTCTGACAGTCTTCTTGTGGAGCTTTTGCACCTCTAGGTCCATTTATCCTTCCTCCCTCTTTTCTAGTGGACTCCCTATGCTTCACCCAATGTTTGGGAGTCTCAGTATCTGTTTCAAGCTATTTCTGCTATTTCTGGGTGAAGCCTCTAAGAGAACAACTCTGGTAGGCTCCTGTCTACAAACATATCAGAATACCATTAATAGTGACAGGGGATAGCATTCTTCCATGGAATGGATCTTAGAGTTGGGCCTGGCATTGGTAAGAACTGAAGAAGTTAAACACCAACAACCCAAATAATCCAATTAAAAAAAAGGGATACAGACCTAAACAGAATTCTCATGAGAGGATTCCCTAATGATGGAAAAGCGCTTAAAGAAATGCTCATCCTTAGTCACCAGGAAAATGCAAATCAAAACAACTCTGATATACCATCTGTCAGAATGGCTAAGATCAAAAATTCAAGTGACAAAACATGCTGGAGAGGCTGCGGAGAAAGGAGAACACTCTTCCATTGCTGATGACAGTACAAACTTGTACAACCATTTTGGAAATCAATCTGGAGCTTTCTCAGAAAACTGGGAATAACCATACCTCAAGACCCAGCTATACCACTACTGAACATACACCCTAAAGATGCTCCATCATATAAATAGGACATTTACTCAAGCTTGTTCATAGCAGCTTTACTCGTAATAGCCAAAACCTGGAAACAACTTAGATGTCACTCAACCAAGAATGAATAAAGAAACTGTGGCACTTTTACACAATGGAATACTACTCAGCCATTAAAAACAAGGAAATCATGAAATTTGCAGGCAAATGGATGGACTAGAAAAGATCATCCTGAGTGAGGTAACACAGACCCAGAAAGACACACATGGTATGTACTCACTTTTAAGCATATTTTAGTCAGGATAGATATACTACAGTGCGCAGAAGATAAATAACAAGAAGGACTTAAGGGAGGATGCATAAATCTCACTCAGAAAGAGAAATAGAATAAGCAGAGGTAGTGGTTGAAGAGAGGAAACAAGGTAGGCGAGGGAGCACAGACAGTAATACGGGAGAAGGTCAGACCTGGAGAGAATAGGGGCAAAAGGGCAAAAGGCCTTCAGAGAAAAGAGAAATGGTGGGCAGGGGCATTTCTGCAACAAGTTGCAGACATAAATCAGAATAAATCTCTGGGAGAATAACAGGGGCCATGAAGACTGAAGAAATCACCAACCCACCCACAAAAACCTCAATCCAAAACTTAATCTATCTACAAGACCTGCAAAGATGGAACAGATAGAGCTCTATTATATTTTCTTCCACTTGTAAGCCATTAGTCTGCTCAATCTCTCTTACATGTTCAAGCCATACATGGCATAAAGGTAAGCTAAAGAACTTATGTTTACTTTTATCTTTCTCTTTATAAATTATATTTGATAATGAAACAATGATTCACATGTCTCTACAGTCAAATGCACCACCTGCAACAGACATAAAATAAAACTTGATAAGCCAAACAACACATTTCTATTATGGAAAGCAGTCATTCAAGCTAGTCATGACTAAATCCACTAATGCTCCACTTGAATGAAGAATTTCATAAACTAGCTCCCTAACAGGCTTAATAATTGTTTACCAAAATGAGAATTTTATTTTGTCAATTTTATTTCTCAATTAAACAATTATTTTTAAAGTCTCACTCAACATTTTAAAGAAAGAGAAGAACAGAGAAAAAAAATAAATTTAAAAGATGATTTAACCTTAAAAGCTTCTTCTTTGTTGCTGAATTTTCTGGAGTCTTTGGAAACTTGGCCATATACTTCTTGGGTGTGCTCAATATGGGCTCAGCTGAATTTGGCTCTGAGTGAGTCTGTCTACCCAAAAATTGTCTTGCATCTGATTTAAAATCCACCTGGTATTTGTGAGGGGATTCTGAATCAATGACCAGGGCATTCTCTGGGTCATCTTCTTTTTCACTATCTGATGAATACTCCAAAATTTCTGTAGAAATTGGCTGAAAAAAAAAAAATCAAAATAGATATAATTAAATATTCTTCACTTAAGAATATATATATATCGTTTTGATTTAAAAAAGAAAAAGTCTAAGTGCTCTAAATAAATAAATGACTGAATAAATAAATAGATAGATAGATAAATAAATAAATAGATGGATAAATAAATAAATAAATAAATAAGAAATAAATAAATAAATAAATAAATAAGCAGCAAAAATAGGTTAAACTAGTTGTAAGCCAGGGATTATCTTATAGACTACACCAAAATCACCACAATTGTATTTCTCTTCCTTCAGCGAACTAGGCACATGCACCATATATACAGAAATCTCCAAAGTAAACTAATAAACACTACCTAAAAGTCTAAGAGCAGTCAATACCTAACAATCATGGGGATGGATGGTTATTTCTTAGCTTTTAAATTTTAATGATTAGATAACATTCATTATTTGCCACAAACCAAATATAAAGATGTTGTCTCCTTAGGTATAAAGCATTTTAATTCAGCTAAGAATAAATAAGTAAACTTGCTTTATCTGTCATAATTCCAACATATTTTCTAGAGTCCAGTTAGAAATCTTTAACATAAATAGGAATTATTTAAGAATGTAATTGTCTAGCTTTTTTTTTTCTTACTCATATTTGTGAAGTGGATTAGAAAAAAGAAATTTGCATCACAAGGCCATCCTACAGGAGCTAATCACTGCTTTCTTTTGATGTTCTGTCTTTGCTCTGACACAGGTTAAGTGTACTGGCTGGTTTTAATGTCAACTTGAAACCCTGGCCAGAGTTATTTGTGACAAAAGAACATCAGCTAAAAAATGGCCTCACCAGACTGGCCTTTGGGGCATTTTCATAATTAGTGATTAACAGGGAGTGCCCAGACCATTGTGGGTGATGCTGTTTCTACTAAGTAGTCCTGGCAGTATATAAAAACCAGATCCAACAAGCCAGTGAGCAGCATTACTACAAGGCCTAGGTATTAGCTCTGCTCTTCAGGTTTCTGCTTGAGTTCCTGCCTTGACTTCCTTACTCGAAGTATTGTGAGGTGGGAGTGTAAGTGAAATAAGCCTTTCTTCCCCAGGTGACTTTTGGTTATGGTGTCTTATTACAGCAATAGAAATTTTCATTTTCATTTTCATTTCATTTCAATTTCATTTTCATTCCAGCAATGGAATTTTATTTTCATATTACTTGGTTTTACAGGTCAATTCCATGTTGTCCTAGTTTTAGTAATAATTTATCCTTCAATATTTGGATTTCACAGGTTCTAGCAGCCTTCTATAATTTACTATGTACACTAAAGCATAAATTTCCTAAAAGTGTACTTCATCATGAGTTAAATGGGACTTCCATAAACATTTATTTCAAACATATGTCTGTGTCCCATCCTTAAGAGTCCATATTCATCCCTGGTAATGCAGGAAGCACTGAAAACAGGAAGAGTATTCAAGCAGCAGAGTCTGTGAGCATGTGTATGTTGTTACAAAAGTGCTAGAGTTTGCTAATGTAGACAGAGGCTTACTGCACTGGGTCTTTTTTGAAATTATATAGTTAAGTACTTGTGAAAAGCCTTTAAAATTACATTATCCATCCTGTATCATTTAAGAAATAGTTCTGGTATGTACCTTTACAGTTTTCAAAAGACAAAAACAAAACAGAACAAACAACCTTTGAAAAGAATGAAAAGCATGGTTCTATTGCCTTTCCACACTTGTAGTTCTAAGTCTAAGTCATGGCAGCTACATAATTAATAAGCACTAGAAGTACATGCTTTCCTCACAATACTACTTCTGCATAAATACTGAAAATAAGCCACGAAAGGAACCAGAGCATTTTAAACTGAAAAGGATGATACATGATACCTTTTGTATTCCTTGAGAACTGTACATCTAAATAATTCAACCTTTTCCTTATGAGACGTCCCCCCAACCCCTTCGGGGATTGAATGTAGAATTCTTCCGCACTTAGCTAACTCTGAGCATTTTTTTTTTTATTAAAAACTCTATATAGCCCAGGTATACTATGAACTGTAATGCTCCAGCCTCAACTTTTGAATAGCTGGGATTTTAAGTCTGTACCCCCAAGAATGGCTGAGAAATTTTCTTTAGAATAAAGGTTTTCATTTCATTCTAAAGCAAGATCTCTCAACCTCAGTTCTACTGCCAGCTATTGTTAGGACAATATGAAAGTCATGCACTGTGGAATGGTTAGTAATATCCCAGGCCTATACCCACCAAATAATAGTAGCACATGCTGAACAAGTCATGACAATGAAAACATTTCTAGACATAGCCTAATGTTTACTGGAAACAAAAGTACCCTTGTTGTAAATAAAAAAATAAGTGTGAGACTATATAATATTTATTTATTTATTTATTTATTTATTTGTTTGTTTATTTATTTATTTATTTATTTATTTATTGGCCCTGAAGTTATCACGGCAGTATTATTTAACCTACTATCACAAATAGATTTTATAATTGCCTTATGTATCTTGTGGCGGGCAGATATTTCATCTACACTGGCTCAAATACCTCACCATCCATCTCCCAGCCCCCATCCAATGGCATCCGCCTTAATCACCCTCATCTGATCTACCTTCCATCCATAATCCCATGGTACTTGCTTGTATTCTTCATCTTGGCCTTTTTGCACCATTACTGGAGTCCTTCCTCTTGGCCCACGTGGGTTTTTTTCCCCCCACACTAATCCATTATGGGGTCTTTCCTCCTCTCTTCCTGTCCATCTGTTTCCCCATGATTCTCTTGAACCAAAAAGCCTGGGAACCTTAACCATGCCTACCCCATTCTGCCCTGCCCAGGTATAGGCTGTTTAACCAACCAAGATATAATGACTTGGTAAAGTTTACACAATAAGGCTAGGTTTACATAATAAGGATAGGTATATGTGAGAATGAGCTCCTCTGAGCAGGGATAAGATGGGGCGGGGGGACTTTAAAATACACAGTACCAGGCCAACCCTCAACACACCACCATTAAGAACCACTGTCCTAGAAAGGGACACAGCTTGTGCTATAGACTCATAGGCAAATGTGAAGAGGATTCAAAGTACATTGGAGGTAGGATGGAGGCTGAACTCAATTCCTTATAAAACACTGCAGTACAAGTATTGCAAGAGAAAATTTACTTTGGTTCAAAAAACCATTAAGAGCAAAGCTCAGAGGATAGAGACAAGGAGAAGTAAGAGTTTACTTCCCAAGATCTGTCACATGGAATAGAATGCTAGGCATTCTCATAGAAGACAGGGAGAAAGGACAGTCCAAGCAGAAAGAATACTGTGTGATCTAAGGGAATACAAGTCAGGCAAGGAAACAGTAGCAAGAGACACAGCTGTTTAAGTGTTTACAATACTGGGCAGTGGATACAGCTTTGTTCTGAGGCAGCAGAGAACTGCTGGCTTTTTAAGCAGAAGCTTATAATATCAAATGCTAATGTGGAAGGATTAGCAAGACAACATTCTGAAGAACAGACTGTGACATAAGAAAGTGAGAGGACTTATGCCAGCATAAGCCTACCAGAAGGCTGCTGAATAATCAGAGCAAGAAGTCATAAGAGAACTTGAGTAGACGGGAACAGGGACAGGTGGATGTGAAAGAAAGCCAACAACAACAAAAAAATGCAAGTACATGGAGGCCTCTTCTACTGGGAATGAAATGTGGATATGAAGTCAGAAGACCCTATGCATCACACGTGAGCAACAAATGAGTGAGGCTGCATTTGCGCAGAAGGGAATTTAGGAACTCAGGTGTGGATGGGCAATTCCAACAATGAGTTAGATCTTGATACACACACATGGAATACATAGGACAAAACTGGCCATCATGCAGCTGTGGCTTCGGTAGAAGATACACCTTTGGGAATCCAAAGATTAGGAACAATCTGTAAAAAAAGAGAGAAGACTACCCAAGGAAAGTACATATCTTTGAGAAGAGAAGGGCCAGTCTAGCAACTTGAGAATGTTAAAAACACTTAAGCTGACTTGTGGCAGGGAAGACCAGTGTAAAAAAAAAAATGGTTTTCATCTGACAAAAGAGAGACTGTAGATAGAAGAAACCCAAGAGACCTTGTGACAGTATGTTTGGAGAATAATTTGGAGGTGAGGTTTAAAAAAGCAGATCTGCTAATCCTCTTAGAAAGCTCATAGCTCTTGTATTTGCTTTCAATAGTAGAAAAGGTAACAAAAAGAAGCATTTCTTCAGCTTTACACAGCTAGTAAGATACTTTTAAAGTCACATCATAAAACCCACATAAATTTCCTCAGCAAAGAACAGTAAATATTAAGAGTAGAGTAGGTAGTATCTTAGAATTTCCAGGCATCAATCATGATTTACTTCTGGTTTATGCTGTCAATTGTTAAATGAGAAGTAAATTATAAATTACAATACAATGAATGCCTGCCATCCACATACTATCATAGCTGCTATAATTAATAAAACCCTTAGCTTGTTTTATATATTTACAGTAAATTGAAGAGGAGAAAATAAACTAAAATCACACAACAACTTGGGAACAATCCCAAACATAGTATGTATAGAAAAGAAAAAGGAACAAACAAGTTCACTGGGGACAGGAATAGCTTAGAGATTCTTATAGAATTTGACTCTGACATGGTCCCAAGCCTTGACCTGCTGCCAAGTTATTACTCTAAAAGCAGAGTATTTATTTAACTTTCCTTTGTTTCTTCATCTTCAAACTGGAGAGAATAATACTATATTAAATAATTAGCAAATGTTAGCTGTGCTTATTAGCTCCTGTGGTAGTTTAAATATACATTTTGTATTTATTTTTATAAAGATTTTTCCTCAGTTTTAGCACAAATTTCATACAATAAAGGGCAATGAAAAATTTAGTAAGTAATGTATTTGGTGACAATAAAAATAACATTGTCTTAGATGACCAAAGAAAACATGAATTCATCACATCCTATTAACAGAACCAAAGTACAACAAACATCTATGGGGAACAATGGGTAACCA